ATCCCTGCATACTCCCTGCTCCCTCCTCAGTCTGATTTCTCCAGTGAATCCTTGGAGTATCTTGAGTCAGCTGTTTCTCTTGGATAGTACCTATATCAGCCAGGGTTCAGCCAGGAAAACAGAAACCGCACTCAGTATTTCAAGCAGGAAGAGACTGAATATGGGATTTTAGTATGGAAATCCTGGCTTCACCTCCTCCTAGCTGTGTAAACGTGGGCAGGTAACTTAGCCTCTCTGCAACTCAGCTTCCACTTCTATAAAGATAGAAGTAATAATAGTACCCTAACTCATAGTTTGCTCTGAAAATTAAGTAAAATGATCCATGAAAAATTCTCAGTGCCTGGCACCCTGGCCTGAGTACCTAATAAATGTAAGCTATTATTACTGTTACTGTTATAATCTTCTAAACGCTTCAAGATATCTGAGGAAAGTGTTCAAAGCCACAACAGAGTCTGAGGCTGAGGCAGTCAGAAAAGAAAGAGGACATTTTTGCAGTAAGATGTCCGTCCCTGGTTGAAAGAAGACTAGCCTGGATTGGAGGTGGGGGAAGTGGCAGGATATGAACAAGTAGCTCAAAGAAACCTGCCTGTCCTCAACTTGAACAAATTATACATACTGAACTTCCTTCATCTACGCTGAGCAAGGTCTCTCCTCCAGACATCTTTTTACTTTTTTAGTTGAAAAGCACTTTGGGAGGCTGAAGTGAGAGGATCACTTGCATCAGGAGTTTGAGACCAGCCTGGGCAACATAGCCAGACCCCATCTCTGGGATCAAAAAATCAAAAATCAGAAATTAGCCATCATGGTGGCATGTGCCTGTAGTCCCAGCTACTTGGGAGGCTGAGATTGGAGACTTGCTTGAACTGGGAGAGGTCAAGGCTGCAGTGAGCCATAATCTCACCACTGCACTCCAGCCTGGCTGACAGAGTGAGAATGTCTTTTAAAAAATTATATATATATATACACACACACACACATAATGCATATATATCATATATGCATATATAATCCATATATATTTTATATATATTACGCACATGTTTAAAAAGAAGTCAAAGAGTTCAAAATACTATTACAGTTAAGAATTAGTCTCCTTCCCACCCCAAACCCCTCAGCTTCCTGACCACAGACAGCCACCATGAACCAGTTTCTTATCTGTTTTTTCAGACATATTCTAGGCATTTAAGAGTCCACTATATTTTCGTGTTTTAATACAGATGGGAGCACTGTTCTTGCTTTCCTAGTAAATAATAGTCTAGCATTCTCATTTCCCTGTCTTTAGATACCAGTCCTTTAGGGGATTTCCCAGAAGTTGGGGCAACTGCATGAGCCTTGGGTTGGTTTGGCACTGGTGACAGTGTGAAAAGAGCCTCCGCCCCCTCCACTGAGCTCAGAGAAAGTTTGTAGTAAAGCCATTTGCAGGGGTAAGGGAGATGGGACCCCATGGGAGCCCAGCAACAGGTTGCCCTAGAAAGAAAAGCTCTGCCCTAGTGGCGATAAGCCAGGTCATTCTGATTCCTGCCCTTGGAAAGATCTACCAGGAAATCATGAGCGACTCAGGTAGGACAAACACAACACAGAAGGCATACAGAGAAGTTGTACATTTGGGGCAATGACGAACCATTAGAAGCTGAAGTTATGAGTAAGCTGAAATTGGGAGGAAGCAGGAACCTTGCATACAGTGAAGCGTGAGGTTGGGGGTTGGCGGGGCGGGGGGTGAGGAAGGCTGTTGGTGAGAAGTGAGGGGACACAGAGAAGCAGAAATGCTAGAAGCGGCCAAGTTATACCAATGGCAAGGCGCATGTGAAGGTGCACCAACTCTGGCTGCTGGTCCCCAGAATTGCCCTGAATCCAGCACAGTTCCTGTGAGGCTAGCTCAGCCCTTGTCCCTGTTGCTGGGCTCCCACATGATCCTGTCTCCTTTACCCTAGCATATGGCTTTACTATAAACTTCCTTTCTCTGAGCTCAACAGAGGAAGCAGAAGCTCTTTTCACACTGTCACCAGTGCCACACCAACCCAAGGCTCATAAGACCTGTCTCCTCAACTTCTGTGAAGTTCCCTAAAGGACAGATATCTAGAGACAGGGAAATGAGAATGCTAGACTGTGTGTTGCTTTGGAATACATTGCTTTGCTTAATGAATTAGTGCACTTTGATGGAGGTCTGCCTCCTAGGGGAGGGCAGAAAGCAGAAACAGAAAGGCAACGGATGATGAGGATCAACTGACGCTTTGCTCATGCTGATCCTTTCCTCTCACCCAGATCCCACCCACCCCTCATGTTCTCTGTTCCACCAAACCTTCCCCTGCTATTCCAACCACATCAGCACTGATCCTTTGTTTTGTTTGTTTGGTTGGTTGTTTGGTTTTGTTTTTTGAGTCAGTCCGACTCTGTCACCCAGATTGAAGTGCAGTGGTGCGATCACAGGTCACTTCAGTGGGCTCAAGCGATACTCCCACCTCTGCCTTTCAAGTAGGCAGAACCCCAGGTGTATGCTACCATGCCCAGCTAATTTTTTAGGGGGAGTTAGAGGTAGATTCCCACTATGTTGCCCAGGCTGATCTTGAACTCCTGGACTCAAGCGATCCTCTAGGCAGCCTCACAAAGTACTACAGGCACGAGACCCTGAGCCCTGACCTCTTAACACCTATGGTACATTGCCTGATTGACCCCAATTCTTCGTCCCCTTTATCCAGACCTTTTATCTTTCTTTGTGGTTCCTCCCACTAACTGGGCAGAGTACATTTCGCCATCCTTTGACTTTGGGTTTGGCCATACAACTGGCTTTCTCCAATAACATAAGACGGAAGCGATGGGGTGCCAGCTCCCAGGCCTCTCATACTTCTTCCATCCCTGAGCAAAGGGTGTGCCCAGGCTAGCCCACTATTCCCAAGAGGAAGATAAGCGGCACATGAAACAGAGCTGCCTTGGCCAAGCCCCCCCAGTTCAATCCAGCTTAAATCAGTCCATCCTTAAACATCTGAGCTAAGGAAATGTTTATTGTTGTACACCATTGAGTGTTTAGGGTTGTTTGATCTATAGCTGACAACCATCCATAGCACTTACTGCGCGTTTCCATACTTGGTGATTTAACAGCAGTGGACTATTTGTTCATATGTCAAATAATTGTTTCTTTGGGCAGATCTCTCCTGGTTAAGATTGCCAGGTTTAACAAATAAAAATACAGGATGCCCAGTTAAATTTGAATCTCAGACAAATAATTTTTTAGTAGAAATGTGTCCTGTGCAATCTTTAGAACATATTTATACTAAAAATTATTTATTTAAAATTCAAATTTGACTGGGCATCCTGTATTTATCTGGCAATTTTACTCCTATTGCTTGAGGCAGGATATCTTACACAACAGCTGTCAGATCATTTGCACGGTCACTACCATAATGTTGCGAGGGGAAAGATTTGCAAGGACAGAAAGTAAACCTTGAGCATTCTCTTCTCTCCAGTGGCAAATCTACCCCTTACAATAATGGTGATCATGGTTATCGTTTGCCTAGTTAGTCCTTGTGTGGGCAGCTCGTGGGCTATACACCCTATCTAATTTTCACATCGGTGCTGCAACGTAGGGAAGTGGCTAAATCTTTATCCCATTTACAAATGACTACACTTTCCCTTGGTCACACAGCTAGAGAGAGTAGCAAAGCCGGAATTCAAATGCAGCCCTGTCTTTGCACATTGCAATCCTGCTTTCAACCACCGAAGATGTTTCGCTGTGGTTTTCACAAAATGGAAGATGACAAAATATATTCCCCAGCCCTTCATTCTACTCATGTGGGAGGATAGAAGACAGGTTGTATTAGTGTCCTAGGTTTGCTGTAAGAACCACAGACTGGTTGGTGTAAATGACAGAAATGTATTTTCTCACAATCCTGGAGACTTGACATCAGAGATCAAGGTGGCAGCAGGGCTGGTTCCTTCTGGGTGCTGTGAGAGAATGATCTATTCCAGGTCTGTGATGGTTCATTTTATGTGTTGATGTCATTGAGCCATTGGATGGCCAGATCTCTGATGAAACCATCTTTCTGGGTGTTTCTGGAAGAGATTAGCATTTGAATTGGTGGACTGAGTAAAGCAGTCTGCCCTCTTCAGTGTGGATGGGCCTCATCCAATCCATTGAGGGCCTAAATGAAACAAGGCAGACTGCGGTTGAATTGGTGCTCTCAATTCAATTGCCTGACTTCAATGAGGTGAGCCGTCAGTCTTCTCCTGCCCTCAGACTGAGACTTCCACCATTGGTGCTCCTGGTTCTCAGGTCATTGCGCTCAGACTGGAATTGATACTACCCACTTTCCTGGGGCACCAGCTTGCAGTTGGGAGATCATAAAACTTCTCAGCCTCCACAATGGCATGAGACAACTCTGTAATAAATGTCATTTTATGTTCTGTTTCTTTGGAGAACCTTAATACAAGGCCTCCCTCCTTGGTTTGTAGATGGCCATTTTCTCCCTTGTCTTCACATCGTCTTCTTCTTACAAGGACACAGTCATACTGGATTAGGATCCCACCCTCATGATCTCAGTGTAACGTAATCACCTCTATAAAGACCCTGTCTTCAAATAAGGTCACATTCTGAGTTACTGGGGGCTGGGAGTTAAGACTTCAACATATGAATTTTGGGAAGAGAGGGGGACCCGGTTTAGCCCATAACAGGGTTTGTGGGGCTGTGACTCATCCTAACACAATCTTCATTTTTAGGAACCCAAGGGAATAGATTTCAAATGCTGGAATTCTGAGTTTCACGAGGTGGAACTCTAATTTTTAAAGCAGTCCTCACAGACAGGAAAGGCCCATCTTGCAGTTCTTAATGTTAGCACCTCAAAGGTGTCACACTCTCCACCCAAGGGGCCCTAGCAACTTCTAGAATGTCAATTATTATGAGGACAGGGGATTGTGATGGTTGCTAGTCTATGGAATCTGGTGAGGCCAAATGTCAGCACCTCAAATGAGGTCCTGTGGCCCCACCTGGCAGCATTCTGGTTTTCTGGATGGCAACAGAAGACAGGGAGATGATGGAAGCCCGGGGCGCGGGAGAAAGTTGCCCGACCTTCCCCAAGATGGTGCCTGGTGACTCCAAGTCTGAAGGGAAGCCAAGGGCTTGTCTGGTAAGGGGGCTGCTGTGTCTCACTACCCCTGCCTATTCCATCAGGGGGAACAAGAATACTGTAGGAATACATAATAGTAGCTGAGTGCTTAGAGGTTCCAGACAGCTGCCAAGAACATTAGGTGACATGCACTCCACCCCTGTAACTGGCACCCAGCTGTCACCAAGGACCAGATTGCCCTCCATAAGATTGTGAAGTCACATGAAGCTGGCTTTGGTCTCCTCTATCTCCCTCCCCACTTGGGGCCCTTTCCTTCCTGGGTGGATAGGACCTGGCTCCCCGCCATAGCCCTCTTGCTGGTCCCCAAATATTTAGATTCTCTCAACTCAGACCCTGGGTTTCTTTGTCTCTGTGTAACTTCCTGAAGACCTGGCATCTAACTGGTCTCAAAGTCAGGTGGAGTTGAGGATGGGCCCAGAAGTTGCCTCTTTGATGATTTGAAAAATCACTAGAAAGATAGACATCCATCTCCTCAACTCCCAGTGCCTCTACCTGCAACTTTAGGGCACCATGACTTGGTGCTAGTTTGCCCTCTCCTCCTTGACCCTCAGGTCCTGACAACTCCAGGTAAGAGCACTTCTAATAAGAATTCAGCATAGATCTTTACAATTCGGACACTCTTTCAAACATCCCTGTCCACTGTGGCCTGAGGCTGCAGGAGTTCCATGGGGTCGGAACAGCCCCATCCTGACTTGTCACAGTCCCTCCCCTCCCCGCTTTCCCTGCCCCAGGAGGCAGAGTCCCAGAAGCCAGACTACTCCTGTGACCACTTGGAAGAGATGGAAGCTTGTGAGGATGGAGGCTGTCCAGGGCCACCTAAATCGCTGCCCCCCAAGTCCTGCCCTGCCACCAAAGGCCAGGCGGGTGATGGACCCAAACCCGCAGAGCTGCCCCCAGCCCCTGGGACCGAGCACAATGCTGAGATGGACCTGGAGAAGGTGCGCATGGAGTTTGAGCTCACGCGGCTCAAGTACCTGCACGAGGAGAACGAGCGGCAGCGGCAGCATGAGGTGGTGATGGAGCAGCTGCAGAGGGAGGCGTCACCCCACCTGGTGGGTGACAAGGAGTGGGGCACTGGGAGAAGGGAGGCCTGGGGCTCCCAGCTTTGTGCAGCATCCCACCCTGCAGATCCTGGATCTTGGCTGCAAGGACTGACCATCCACATGGGATGGTCTCCAGCCCTCTCCCCCTTGGGTCACTCACTTCCAGAGATGGCCGCTCACTGCCTTAAAGCCCACTACCCAACCTGGCCAGCTCTGTTAAACAGAGCTTCCATGCAAAGCTGAGATCTGACTCTCTGAGGAGAGTTGAGGCTGGGAGGGGCCCCAGAACCACATCGCCCACCCAACAGCCCTTTTGGTAGCTTCAGAGAAAAGTCTTCAACACTTCCTCCTCCTTCTACCACTCACAAGTCCTCTCTGCATCTCTTAAAATTTGATGCCTGGAGACTAGACCCAGAATCCCCACTGCAGTCTGGCCAGTGGATTTTGATAGAACCATCACCTCCCCGATCAGGGCTGTGTTTATTCTGTTGGATCATACTGCCTTCTAGTCAACTGAAACAGCCATCTTTTCACAAGAAGTGCACCACTCTCCCCTAATGTGTATGAATGGGGGATAAGAATGCCTACTTGAGATTAAATGGGATATGAAGAGCTTAGCACAGTGACTGGGTGATCATAAGCATTCAATAGCAGAGGATGTTACTGTTTAAAGCAGTGTTTCCTGGACTTTAAGTCAGACAGTCCTGGGTTAAAATACCAAGTATAAACTGCCTGACATTGGGCACATTACTAATCTCCTTTGAGCATGGGCCTTCTCATCCGTGAAGTACCCTACCTCATAGAGTTGTTGTGAGGGTTAAATGAGAGCACACACACAGACACTTTGCAATTAGCCCAGCACATTAGGTAAGCACTCAATAAATGTTAGCTATTACCATTTTTATATACTCATGCAATTCACTTCTTGACCCAAATGCAACAACATACATTTATCACTTTTCAGTTTTATTGGGATGTGATGTATTAGCTATGCTTCCCAGCTCTGAGTCATCCTCAATTCTGAGAACCATGCCTTCTGCCTTTATCCAAGTCATTGCTGTAACTGTTGAGGAGGATATGACCTAAAGTAAATACCTTTCCACCTTATCTAAAAAACTGAGACTGTCAAATGGTTTCCCAAAATTAAGATATTACATTACCTATAGCATTTCCCCAATTGACTGGTGAGGTTTGTTTGTTTGTGTTTTTTTAAGAAAGTAAGGTTGGCTTTGCATCGTTTGTTCTCGATGAACACATGCTGGCTTCTTAATGATCTGTTTTCCTGTTCACAAAATACCTGCTTCATTATACATGAAATGATTTCACTAAACCCAGTCAAGCTTATTGAACTGGGATTTCCAGAATCTTCCCCTGCCCCCCACCCCCTTTTAGAAAGTCTAGAAAATATTTGCCTATTGCTTAGACTTTGGCACATTTCCTAATATTTTTGAATTCTAAGTTACATTTCAAAACTTGTGACTTTTCTCAGTAGCCTGGGATAAAATCTGTCACAAAGTGGAGCCTGCAACTATTTAAAGCAGATATGATATTGTAACTATGCCTTTGGCCTGTGTCTCCTCCTAACTGTATTTATTTCCCCCCCTTTTTAGTTTGAAAATATTTCTTCTTGCTGGATGAGATGGAAATCTTTGGTATATAGTCCTATCTCTCGCTTCTGCTCAAAAACTAGAACACTGAAAGTATTTTGAAAAGTAAAGAGTTTCATTAACATATTTTTAAAAATGAAAGTCATAATAATCACCCATCAGCATTTTAGACTGAAACACATGCAGACTGCAGAGAAGTGGCCAAGTCCGTGGGTCCAGAGCCCTCCTGTGCCTGCAGAGAATCGTCGGGTCAGTCCCACCCTCCACTCCCACTAGAACACTGGATTGCTTCCTCTGGTCTCCAACCTTCCTAGCTATTCACTTTCAAGGCAGCATCACCAGAGTCATTTCCTGTCCCCTCAGCTTTGTTTAGTTGCCCTCAAATTTTATGTGGCTGTTTCAATAGTGATGTGTCCCATCCCCCAACCTTTGGTGATAGTTTACAAAAGTGTTTACTTTTTGTGTACTTACTAAAAATTGGAGAGTTGACTTGATGTTGAAGACTTCTTTTTTTCTGGGTGGGTGAATAGATGGATGGACAGGTAGAATTTATTGAACTGAAAATACCTCTGAGTGTGTTTCTAGCTAGTTTAGGGCATCTTGGTCCCTTCCAAAAATGTGGCATGATCTTAAAAAATATTTTAAAACATAACTCATGGGTTATGCCCTCTTAACTATGGATCAAAATAATATCTTTGCCTTACTTATGCATCGATAATTTTTTACAGTTAAAATGAAGACTGTTGGACCCCAATTATATAGATTCAAGAAAAGAGCAACTTGCAGGCAGAATTAGCTAGACAACTCAAGCTGCTTTCCCCCAGCCCAATACTCTGAAAGTTTAGGGGGACCCCATCACCCATCTCTCAGCACCTACCTCCAGGAGAGACCAAACCCTGGACTGAAAGGCCACAGATTGACCCACGTGATCCGTGTCAGGACCCAGGGAGTCGGAAATAGTTGTTCACATGCAAGGGACACCCTCTCATTGGGCCACTGTCCAAGAAACTAGGTTGAATGTTAGGGCACTGTCAGAGAACACTCCCAAGACCCAGCATCCAGATGTGGGGCTCCTGGAGTCAGGAGAGAAGGCCCATGCATGGGCTCCAGTGGGCAGTACGGAGCATAAAGAGAAAGAAAGGTGGTGGCCTGGTGCCCGGTCAGGAGTGATAAGAACAGCTCAAAAAAGTAAAAAGTAATGAGTTCCTTCTATGTGGTAGTTACCTGACTAGGAATGTTCCATTATCTCACTTTTCCTCCTTGTGATCTTTTGGGGGTTTTTAAAATTTTTTTTAGAAACAGGATCTTGCTCTCTCACCCAGGCTGAAGTTAGTGGCATGAGCATAGCTCACCATAACCCCGAACTCTTGTGCTCAAGTGATCCTCCCACCTCAGCCTCCCAATAGCTGGGACTATATGCACACACCACCACACTTGGCCAATTTTAAAATTTTTTTGTAGAGGCAGAAGTCGTACTATGTTGCCCTGGCTGGTCTTGAATTCCTGGCCTCAAGCAATCCTACCACCTTGGCCTCCCCAAGTGCTGGGATTATAGGTATGGGCCACCATGCCCAGGCCTCATAATCTTTTTGTAAAGGGCACTATTGCCCCTTCCTTAGATGAAGATGATGACCTGAGGTCACATACACAGGCAGAGACAGAGCAGGACTGAACCTAGATCTGCCTGGCGCTAAGACTGGCATCACCAGCTCCGCTGTCTTCTCTCCCCTACAGTTCTCAGGAGGCCTCCAGGACCTCCTGCTGCCCCAGAACCAGTTTGCCATGTTCCTGTACTGCTTCATCTTCATTCACATCATCTATGTCACCAAGGAGATGGTCTTCTTTCTCTTCTCCAAGCACTACCTGTTCTGCATCGCGACCATTTTGCTCTGTTTGATTAAAACTTTCTGGTCATACTTCCAAGTGCCTTTGCTCTCTCCATCACTAGGACCCTCACCCCTGCCATGCTAGAGTGTTATCAGTGCGTGATCTCAGCCTCCCGGCACCTCCTTTTATCATTTTGTGCCTCTGTCCAATCAGAATCCACTCTTAGGAAGGGCCCTGCTGCCCAGCATTTCCACCTGAGAGTGAAGAAACATGTTCATGCCCCTTAGGCAGAGCCTGAGTTCTCACTGTGGACATGATGTTTTGTCCCAAGAGGAAGATTTCAAATGTTAGCAGGTCAGGGAGGTTTCTGCAGGGAAGGAGGGTTTAGAACACCTTTCTAAAATCACAGAAGCACACCATGACCAAGCTGGCTTTGGTTTCACATCTACTCATGTCTATAGATCCCTGAGGGGTGGAAAGCCTGTGGTCTGCTTGGGGACAGCCCCTCCATCTCCTGCAAAGATGTCTATGTCCTAATCCCCATGAATATGTTACCTTACATGGTAAAAGAGCCTGAGATTTGATTAAGGACCTTGCAATGGGGAGATGATCCTGGATTATCCAGGTAGGCCCGTGGTAGTCACAAGCGACCTTATAAAAGGGAGGCAGGAGGCTGAGAGTCAGAGAGATGTGACCATGGAAGCAGGGGGCAGAATGATGCAGGGCTGTGGGTCAGGGAATGTGGGAAGCCTCTAGAAGCCAGGAAAGGCAATAAAGGGATTCTCTGCTAGAGCCTCCGGAGGGGGCCCTGCCCTGCCACCCCACATTAGACTCCTGACCTCCAGAACGTTAGGAGAATACGTCTGTGTTATTTTAAGCCGCTAAGTTTCTGGCAATTTGTTACACCAGCCACAGGAAACTAATGCAGGAGCCAAGACGCCCAAGCGCTCTCCAGCTGTGCCAACATGGCAGGATACCATCACCAGGCCACTGGCCAGGCTTCATTTAGCACTGTGCCTGAGCAGACTTGTACACAGCTGGACTTGAGACAGCATATGGTTAAAAAGGAGAGGCAGTGAAGCTCCAGAGAGCCCGGCATAGGCCTAGCTGAACCCGGTGGACAAGGGGTATCCGTATCACTGAGCTGTGTATCCTCTGGGTGAGGCATGTGGCAAAATAAAGGCATACTTCTAGGGGACATAGGGAAGAAGGAATTTAAGTGCCTGATTGGGCCCAGAGGACATCATTAATTCTACTCTATTGGAAAGCTGGAAATGGCAAAAGAAAAAAAAGTTGGCACATGCATTTACCTGCTAACCCAAGCACAGACTCACAAAAATGCAGAAAATCTAACCCAGAAATAAATACACTGGCACAGAGATACAAAACAAGTATACAGTTGTCCACAGTGGAGAGGTTCACAGCCCCTCAAATAAACATACAACCACCCACAGGAACAGACTTGGAAGACCAGAGGGCTCATGGTCAGGCAAAAAGTGAAGCTGCCCCGCATGTATGCAACAAAGAAAAGGGGCTCGCATCCCTGAGACACCAGCCCCTCCTCCCTTCAGCACACACACAGGCCTTGCAGACTGTCAGCTGCTCTGAGCCCAACAGCCAGCCATGATGGCTGGCTGTGCCACAGGACACTTTAGTGATAATGTGGCAAACTGAACGAGGCTGGACACAGCTGTGCAATTAATCAAGTCTTTGTTGACCCCTTTTCTCCTCTGGCATAGGGCTCTGCCTTAAGAGGGACAAGAGAATAAGTTTCTGTTTCATTGGGCTCTGAGTGACTCTCAGTAAAATCACGTGAAAAAAACAACGACCGCCTTGGGACTTCAATGTCAGCACACATTATCATGTCATTTAAGTCCATGGTGACTTCTCATTTTCCACCCAACTCCATATATCCCTCCCCATTGATAGCTGCATGTGACAGGTACTTAATTTGGAAGTGATAAAAGTGTCATTTCTCATTAAACTTTCAAGGATGGGACGTTGTGCTATGGGGTCACTTCTTCCAGTCATTTTATTTGATCTGGGTTTCTGCCCCATGAGGTTGAGGTGAGAGAGATGAAGATCAGATGGCAAAAAATTTAAGTTCCACCTGTTTACCTTCTTTCAGCAGACAAAATTGGGCATTTATGAAACAGACACGCAAACCAAAAAACCAGTGATATTAGGTCATTTAATCCATCCATCTGTTGCCAGGTAAAACTAGATTTCAATACATTCATTTTTCTTAATCTTCAGAGCAAGTAAACTCCCATGAGCAGTTAAGTGAGCATCTCATCCCACATCTTTTGACATAGGCATGAAATCTACTCTTCCCTATTGTGTTTGAACACCGAAGCCCGTAACCTAAGATCTGTCCTCTAGGAAAATGAGACAACTCATGGCCACCCCCTAAACTTAGAACAGATGTTCTGGTTCAAATGCAAACCAGAAAAATCACGAGAGAGAGAGAGAGAGAATAGGGAAAAGGCTCAGCTAAGCAGTTACCAGCCACGCAGCGAGCCAACCTACAAGCGCCTCTTTAACACCAATGCTAACATGCCTTGCACCCTAAGTCCCTAAAACCCTACAGGTAGAAATGCATATCATCTCCATGTCACAAGCAAGGATACCAAGGTTCAGAGAGGTTAGACTTAACCGAGACCATCCCAGAGCACATGTTCTTTCCATGTTACCCTGCTCCCAAGAGCCTGCCTCAGGAGGATCTCACAACCTTGCTGGAGAAATGAGTTTAACACACATGAAAATGTAAAGCAGCTATCAGCATACAGACTTCAGTTACAAACGAGATCATAGAAGAACTCTCCGGAGTCCAGGATACAGGTGATACAGGAAGTCTTCTTGAAAGATGAGCTCACAAGGGTAGGTAAGCCTGAACAGGTGGAAATCAGGAGGGATACCTCACACAAATGAAGATCAGGCTGGGAGTATGTAATGTGTATCCAGGAGAGAAAGGTCACTCTTGCTCCAGGGAATGGTGTAAAAGGTAACAGGCCTGGAAAATTCATTTGGGGCTAAGTTTTAGAGAGCCTCAAATGTTGGTCTGAGGAATATAAACGTAATCCCTCAGGAAATAGGGAATAAACTAAAGATTGTAGAGTGGAATAGTAATTCAAAACAAACAGATAAATAAAAGCCTTTCTCCTTTAATTCCTGGAGACCACTTTGTTGCCTGGACCTTCCCGTTTCCAGACCAGAAACTTTCTAAGGCCCTGAGTTTGAGGATTACATTCAGCTGTAAAAGAAATCCAGCCACAGTGTCTTAACCAAGCAGAAGTTCATGTTTCTCACATACCGAAAAGTCCCAGGTCGTCAGTTCATGGCTGGTGAAACAGCTCTAGGAAGTCATAGAGGACCCAGGTGGTGCCTTCCTCCACCACCCTTGGCACAGGGCTCTTATCCTCAGCCCATGGCTTCTAGCCTCATGGCGTCGAGTTGGCTGGAGAAGCTCCACTACTCCAGGGCAGAAAAGGAGCTGCCTTTTAAAAGCTTCCCAGGAAGCCCAACCCACAGACTTCTGCTTACGTGCCATTGGTCAAACTAAGGTCATGTGGCTGCTGCTCCTATCTGCAGGGTGTCTGAGGTGGTAAGGTTTTTGCATGGACACTGTTGCAGCCTTGAGCAAAATTAGAATTCTGGTAGTATGAGTGAAGGAGGGACATACCAAATAAGCAAATAACTGGTGTACCATCCCTACTTCCTGAGGCCCAGCTCCCACTCCCTTCCTGAGCTGCTGAACCAGAAAGCCTTTGGTGGGGTTGAAACCATCGGGTGGAGCACAGCTGTAGCCAGTCTGGGCCTGGTCACTGCTGCACTCGGCTTTAAGGAAGAGTACCACATACCACAGCAGGGAGGTCTTGGTTTTCCCTGGCCACACGCCTGGAGCCACTCTGCCTTCATCCTCCTGACCTCTGCCTGAAGCCCCATGACCTGACACAACCAGGGCAGCAGCCTGGGAAGGGCACTCCTCTTTGTGCTGGGTGCCCTCAGCAAAGCTGCAAGGGGAGGCACGTTGAACTCCAGAGTCCCTCCCCTTCCTGATCCCAGATCCCACAGAACAGAGCCCAGAGAGCCAGTCAGGGGACTCTGATCAGCCCACGGACCTCAAGCTGCTGAAGACTATGTATAAGAGATAGCACTCATTGCAAAGGACTACTAAGCTTCAGCCCAAATAATGAAGCATTAATAGTAAAGCTTCAGGCAGGCTGAGGGAGAGAAAGATGGGAGAATCTTTCCTGCTCCCTAAATGGAATATCATAGGTTGCCACCCTTAGCCCAAGGTCAGGACTACAGTTGGGGAGATGGGGGTGGGGCGTGTGGTTAAGGCTTGATTCCAAAGGCCACTTTCCTGCCATGTCTATTTCTAGTCCCAATTTAGCAGATGACTGTGAGCAAGTCGGTTAAGCTTTCTAGGCTTCATTTGGGTGACCTTTAAATTATCTGGACTCTAACTCAGAAAAAAGAAGGACCAAAGTCTAGAGGTTGTTTGAGAAATCATGACTTAATTGATCTGAGATGGCATCCAGAGGAGATTTGTTAGCCTTACAAATGCCCCAGTTGATTCTAATCTGCAATCAGGGTTGAAAAACCTAAATCCTTGCTCTTCAATGGGTGATCAGCAGCATCTGCGTCTTGGAAATGCAGCATCCCAGACCCTGCCCCAGACCCACTGAAGCAGGTGTGGTTTGACAGCACCCCCAGCAATTCATATGCATCTTAAAGTCTGGGAAGCCTACTTTAGGTGATAAGACTCAATTCAATCTGTCCTGGGTTAGTACGGTGCCTCACGTCTGTAATCTCAGCAATTTGGGAGGCCAGGGCAGGAGGATCACTTGAGCCCAGTTCAAGACCAGCCAAGGCAAGATAGGGAGATTCCATCTTGGTGTCATGCACTTGTGGTCCCAGCTACTCGGGAGGCTGAGAAGGGGGCTCACCTGAGCCTGGCAGATTGAGGCTGCAGTGAGCTGTGATAGTGCCACTGCACTCCAGCCTAGGGGACAGAGCAAGACTCTATAAAAATTTTTTTTTCCTCTTTGTGAAGACAATGCTCTTGGCCAGGAGGGTCATCTCGGGAAATGAGAGGGAGAACAACTGAGTGTGTGGCTCTTCAGAAGTGCTATGGTGTCTCCATTAACCTCTGCCTCAGGCTGGGGTGGAAGGAGCTTGCCTCTGCCTCAGGCTGGGGTGGAAGGAGCTTGCTGTGCCACATCAGGAAGCTGTGCCTATGGGTAGCACATCTGCCCCTCCTCCCTTTCACCAGTTCATGCTCTGGGCTTCTGGGGAACCAAATGACTTCACCCCACAGGCCAGGACTCAGCAGAAAGCTCCAGAATCCCCCCAGGCCTGTGTATGCCTCTGTCCCTTTTTTGATCTGACTCCCATGTGTAGCTTTGGGGAAATCTTGCTAATATACATTCATTCATTATTTAAAGGTTGCCGCTGTTCTTCAGGAAGGTTAAGCATGATTAAAAGATGGGATTTTTCCACAGGGCACAGCAGAAAAGCTAGGGCTCCCACATTTTTAAGCTGTTTTGGCCAAGCCTTGTTGCATAATTCAAAGTCTGTGACTTACTTAGATTTAATTAGCCAAAGGAGCAGCAGCTGCAGGTTCATTAGTCAGTATTTATTAAGCATCCTCAGAGGGCTCTGTGGGCTCTTAAGAGTGAAGTGGAGGATGGGTTTCGGACTTGGCAAATTTCTTACACTTAAGTAGGAGGGGATTACAGATAGCGTCAGGAGGTAGGCATTTTTGATTCTCAAAGAGAGCAAAGGGGTGGCATCAAAAGGCCTGGGCCTGTGGGGCAAATCCTACAAAGGGCCACAAGTCAGAGAGATGTCAGCCCCTCACAGGGTTGTAGTGACAGTGAGATAACGAGGTGGAGGCTGGTAGTGAATAAGGAGCTACACGGATGAGCGGTATCAGAGAGAGCAGGGAAGGGAAGGGACTGCCAACCTGAATTCCAAGAACTGGGAGAGGTGGGGAGGTTGTGTTCCAGAATTTGTGGCCCGTGCAAGAGGACAATAAGGTGTTCCTTATTCAAAAACATCAAGAATTCCACTGACAGTGACAGCAGAGGATTAAGCTATGTGCAAAGTGCCCCGAGTGCAGGGCCCCGTGCCACTGCCCTGGTGGTAGATGACAGGGACCCCAGGGATAAGGGGCTTTTGTGGTGCCTCTCAAATCCCGCCCTGAGAGTGACTGTCCTTGGCCCGTACTCCATCAGCAGGAGGGAGGGAGGGATCAGACCACTGGAGGAAGTGAGTCTGGTGACCCCCAGGGAGTGGCCCCTGCACACTGGCCAGCTCTGGATGTAGAGTCTGGCTGCAGAGGCTCCTCTTCACAAGCAGGTCACGCTCTAGGTTTCCAGCTGCTAATCACAGGGGCTCTCCAGCCTGGGGGCATTTCCTCTCTCTGCTCCTGGCTTCCGCCCCAGCCCCATTCAGCTGATGATTCTCCTTTGGGCTAGAAAATCCAAAAATAGAAGAAAGCTACACTTTTTACCCCCTTGAGCCTCTTGTATCAAATGACATAGTCACTTTGCCTCAAACTTTTCATCAAAGCAGCCTTTGTAAGGTCCTGGGGCAGAAAGTAGGCCTTGGAAGATAGCCAGCAGGAAGCCGTGCAAAAAGTGCTGAGCAGGGGGACCCTTGGTGGAGGAGGTGGGGAGGGCAGGGTTTCAGGAGCTTCCCTCTGCCCCAGAAAGAGCCAGTGACAGACACTCGCTACCATGGGGCAGCTATTCTCTGAGCACCAGCTCTAGCTTCTGGTCTTGGAAGTGCCGGAGCAGCAAATGGTGTGGCTGCACAGACAACAAGACCACAGAGCTCAATCAGTGCTTAAGGGGCAATGATCCATCAATCAAATAAACAGAAGGAGTGCAAGAGACAATCTGATAAAAGCTCTGTGAGCTGAAGCTCTCTGTGAAGGCTTCTTGAAAAGGGAGCTCTCCCTTGCTGAACACCGAAGATGTATTGTGCCCTGTCCAGCGCACTTCGTGTCCTCTATTTTATCCCACAGCCTTCCATGAAAGAGTGCTGGCACGCACTAGATTAATCTGCCCAGCTGCTCTAACAAAATATCACAGACTGGGCGGCTGCAGCAACAGACGCTCATTTGCCCGCAGCTCTGGAAGCTGAAAGTCCAAGATCAAGGTGTTGGCAGGTTTGGTTTCCCCCGAGGCCTCTCTGGGATCTCGGATGGCCGCCTTCTCACCGCATTCCCACATGGTCTTTCCTCGCTGTGTGCATTCCTGGTGTCTGGATTTCCTCTTCCAAGGACACCAGTCAGATTGGATTAAGGCCTCATTTTAACATCATCACTTCTTTTTTTTTATTATTTAATAGTTTTTGGGGTACAGGTGGTTTTTGATTACATGGATAAGTTCTATAGGGGTGATCTCTGAGATTCTGGTATACCCATCATCTGAGCAGTGTACACTGTACCCAATATGTAGTCTAAAGCCCCTATCTCCAGATGAGGTCACATTCTGAGGTATTGGGAGTTAGGACTTCAACACATGAATTTTGAGGGGAGATAATTCAGCCCATAACACCCACTTTGCAAATGAGAAATCAAACTCCGAGAGGTTTGGGAATCGCCCAAGCTTGCACAACCAGGAGGTGGCAGAGACCAAGTGTGGCAAGGAGCTGAAAGTTGATTCAAAGAAAATAAAGAACACGCTGTGTCCCGTTCATTTAGGTTTGTGAACAAAGGTTCCGAGCTGGTTTGATAACATGGGAAGAGAACTGCTACTGCATTTCAGATAGTATTGTGTGGTTCCCTATATATAGCTCTAGATATGTGTAGCTGGGGGCAGCTTCAAAGTTTTTCTGCTTATGAATCTACTCATTTATTCTAACCATTCCCATGTTTCTTTTTTGTTTATTTGGTTTGTTTATTTTGAGACAGGGTCTCGCTGTCACCCGTGCTGGAGTGCAATCTCAGCTCACTGCAGCCTTGACCTCCTGTGTTCCCACACTTCCCCTCACCAGACGCTACAGAGGAAAATGTCTTTGAGAGGGGACAGATATAAGGCCTCACTTACTGGCCCACCTGACCCACACACCTGCCATTTCACAAGTGGCATCAGATCCATACTCAAAGGCATGGGTAGCTCCCTCTGGACCCCACCTCACATCCTCTCCTAGATCCCATCACCCTGGTCAGGAGAGTGACTGGCGTCTTCCCTCTTGAATCTGCTATGCCTGGTTCTTTTTCTGAAGACCAGGATAGTAGGGCCCACTCTGAGACAGGAGTAGGTGTGTGAAAGAAGAAGGAAGTGACCGGGCTAAGAGAGAAACCCTACACAGTTCACTCTAGCTGACTTTCACTTCTGAGCCATTTCCATAGCCTCACATACACAAAGTCCCTAATATTTGAGCTGGCCTGAGTGGGTTCCTAGAAAATGATGATTGGAAGACTGTGGAAGCACAGCTTGGTAGAAAGCTCACCTGATCTCAGGTATCGGGCTAACTTCAAAGGATTTCCAGATGACTGCCCTAAGCAAACTCTACACACTGTGGGAGAATCCTGGTTCTAAAAGCAGATCAGTTAGGAGGCTGGGTGTGGTAGCTCACGCCTGTAATCCCAGCACTTCGGGAGGCCAAGGTGGGTGGATTACTTGAGGTCAGGAGTTTGAGACCAGCCTGGTCAACATGGCAAAACCCTGTCTCTACTGGAAATACAAAAATTGGCCTGGCATGTGGTGTGTGCCTGTAATCCCAGCTACTCGGGAGGCTGAGGCAGGAGAATCACTTGAACCCAGGAGGTGGAGGTTGCAGTGAGCCAAGATCGCACCACTGCATGAAGCTCAGATGCCGGGAGGGCCCAGGGGGCTCAGGTAAAAGCGGGAAGATGGCCAGGCATAACTGAGAAGAAAGGAAGAACCCATAAGGCAGGAAGCCTCTACTCGCCTTCCTCCCTCCTTCCCATCTTCACCATGTGGAGATACCTAACCATGTCCAAGTCAAGGGCAGCCAGAAATCCAGACTTTTATGTAATACCTGCTGAGTTTTAAATGTTGGTTCAATTTTCTTTAGCCACTCTACGGACCTAACAAAAGTCCGTGGGGCCAACAGCTCACAATCTCTGAACTTGAGATGTTATTTCCTTTATGATAAAGTCTCTGTTTCACTCAGAGACACGCTGGGGGATTTCGTTAAACAGAAGACACTTCTAGTACAAAAATAGAATGTGATTCACTCTCTAACAATGTTTAAGCACAGAAGCCGCAGTAAGGATGCTTCTTCCCTTCACAAATTGCCTCACCTTGAGGTGTTTCAAGAGACAGATCTCTTAATGCATTTCAAATCAGGTTAGAGTGGCAAAAATCTAATTTTCATACAACTTCTTGAAGGAAGATGGTAATTTCATTAAAGCCTGGATCAAGATTAAGGAAGGCATGAAGCAGATGCCTGATAGCAAGGAAATGGAGCGGGAGAGGGTGACGGGGTGGAGGGTGAAAAGAAGGTGAAGCTGTATGCCCAGGCTGAGTGTTTGCAAAGAGGCTGGCAACCACGGTGTGAAGCCAGTCAGACAAAGAGCAGTGGGGCCTGGGGACCAGAGTGAGCAGAGAGGGGAAGAGGAGGAGGGAGCATCATTGGTTGCCATGGTGACAAAGGAAGAGGGATGGGAAGAAAGAGTGAGGGGGATGTCAGAGAAGAGCTGGGTTGTGCTGCTGCCTACAGCGAAGTCTTCTCTACCCATGCACCCTTGCCTATGACTCCTTGGCCCCTCTGATACTTCCCCCATCCTGATTATCTGCTCATTCCTGGCATGAATAAATTATTATGAAATTAAGGACATTTAGATCCTAAACATGAATGTGATGGATGAATGGGTACCTACTTATTGAGCCTCTAGGTCTCCAAAAGCCCTCTTGGATTCAAAATATTTTCTCCAATGTGCTTCGATAAAGCCCAGGATTCCACCATTAGGGCAATATTGCTTAGACTAAGGCTTTGTTTGTGTTCAATGATAAACCCTCATTAAGGGGGAATATCTTGGCTATCAATTTCCAGGGTCTCATAAGGAATTGATTTATCATATGTAACAGGGATCCTGGCTTCAGCCTGAGAATGTTCACTACTAGAGCTCAGGCATGTCTGGATGTGCATCATAAACTGGTGCGGCAGACCCCAGACAGGCTAGTTCAACGGAAGCTTCTAGTACCATCTGCTGCATGTGTCCAGCATTTATTTCCCCTTGATTTTCTTTTGGGCCACTCCCTCTTTCTCAATCTTAGTCCATGACGTTCAGGTGAACTGACTTCTAGTCAAGGGGTAGGCTCAGGACCAGAACTGGCCAATCAGGGCATTCCATCTTCAGGCCAAAATGATGGGTTCATATGTGGACACATGACCCAAACCTGACCAGTGAGTTTCAAAAACCTAGATGTTTGCTGAAAGCCTTGAAAAATAAGCTCTTATTCCACTGGCTACTAAGCTGTTAGACTGTATGTCCAGAGATGCTTTTGGTCATCTTGTTCCACTTGGGAAAAGCCTGCCTGAGAATAAAACTGATATAGAGAAAAGCAGAGCCAAGATGTGGGAAGACAGATGGAGTGGGAGAGAGAGAAAAAGTGATTTCCTGATGACATGATTTGGGTCCCTTGATCCACCTGAGATAAGAGCCCTCCTTAGACTTTTCACTTTCCATTTTTGCTGTTAACTGATTTGAATTGGGTTTCTGTCACTTACAACCTAGTGTTCTGAATCCTGCAAGGGCTTTCCTATTATGTGAGTTGGTACCTGGGCTCAGCAACAGCTAACATAGGATATACCATGGCATCTGCTCTCAGCCTGTTCTACAAAGAAAGATGTGTTCATGAACCTAGCCAAGAGAGTCTGAGGGAGATGTCGAGACGCAGAACCATTGGAACATATGTAAGCACGTGTGCCCGTCTGCAGGGAAGGGAGCCATTTTCCCACTTCTTCGGAGAAAACAGCCCTGCTATAGCACCATGAAGGGCTTGATGATGGTGCCAGAGGAAGTGGCAGCAGGGCCTGGCTGAGAGGGGACGCCCAGTGGGAAACTCCACAGACAAGCATATGCTGTGCGCTGCCAATGTACAGAGCATTGCACTCTCAGGATGGTCCACGAAAGGTCTGGAGTAGCCCAGGTTTCGGTCAACCAATGGATAAATAAAATGTGGGATACCCATACAATAAGATATTTGGCAATAAAAAGGGATGAATTACTGATTCCTGTCATAACATGGATGAGCCTTGAATAGACGATGCTAAGAAGCTAGTCACAAAGAGCCACATGTGTGATTTCATTTACATGGAATGTCCACAATAGGCAAGTCTGTAGACAGAAAGTAGATTCATGGTTGCCCAGGGCTCAAGGAACAGAGGGATTTGGCAGTGACAACTAAAAGGTACAGGGTTTCTTTGGGGTAATGAGATGTTCTAAAATTAATTGTGGTAGTGGTTGGTTGTTCAGCTCTATGAACACAGTAAAAGCCATTGAATCATATACTTTAGAGGATGAATTGCATGGTATGTGAATTATCTCAATGAAATTGTTACCTAAAAAAGCCAAGCTTCTTGAGATACCTGCCCAGTCTGTGTGTGATGGGGGTGAGGACAGGGGGTTGGCCTCCGGAAGGCAGGGGAACATCATGTAGCTGCTGTCACTCTGGGAGGCAGTACTGCCCTCAGACCTGGACAAGAGGAACCTTGCTCTGGGTGGGCACTTGAGGCCTCTACTCTGGCTCTCCTCCAGCCTGACTCTTCTCTGTGGGGTAAGGAGTCTATAGAATCCAATGGATGTGTCCACCCATGCTCACACTGCCTTCTTCCTAGACCATACGCTGGATCTACAGGACCCTGGAATTACTTGCCCCAAAGGCCCCAGATCTGTCTCTAGAAACTGCAGGCCATGGCCAGTCACAGTGGCTCTTACCTGTAATCCTAGCACTTTGGGAGGCCGAGGCGGGCAGATCACTGGACGTCAGGAGTTCGAGACCGGCCTGGCCAACAGGGCAGAAACCCATCTCTACTAAAAATACAAAAATTAGTGGGGCATGGTGGCAGGCACCTGTAGTCCCAGCTACTTAGGAGGCTGAGGCAAGATAATCACTTGAACCCAAGTGGCAGAGGTTGCAGTGAGCAGAAATCACACCACTGCACTCCAGCCTGGGCGACAAGAGCGAGACTCCATTTCAAAAAAAAAAGAAAAAAGAAAAGAAACTGAAGGCCATAAGAGGCGTGACTGGAACTTGGATATGGAGTCTGGAGTGCCCATTTAAGTTCCCCCAAAGGTTGAGGCAGAGCTGAGAGTAACAGGAGGAGGGTAGGCCATGGACTGTGAGTTGCAGGGTCCGGGGTCAGGGATGGGGAAGGCCTGCAGCCAGCTCTCCCTACAACCACAGTGTTCCAGCATGGCTATCCCAGGACTATGAGATTCTAATTCAAACTTGACCTTCCAGGTCATTATGAATATTTATTTGTCAAGATAGGGAACTACAGCATTTGACAGTTTGCTATTAATAGTTTATAGTTAAACGTATGTCAACACATGGTTTGTGGATCTCCTTTTGTCCTCTTATCAGAGCTCCCTACTAGGCGCCGACTTGCCAGGAGGTGCTGTATTTAAGACAGAAATCTATCAGAGGTTTTCTTTCTAGCAAATCGTGATATGGGGTTTTCTCAGGGTGCGTTTATGGATTTGGGAAACACAATTCATAGATTTCTTGCTCCAGGCTAAAGAGAAAGCTAACACATGGCTGCCTGGAACCTTGAAGTTTAATGATTTCTCTCAATGATGTCTTCTCAGCTCAGCCCAAGGATTGGGGCATGTGGTGAGGCACTGGCTAGAGATTGGGGTAGTTCTATGAGCTGTGCTAGGGAATTCCATGTCTTTCTGGCTCTCTTTACTTTGTTTTTTTTAAGGTATAATGTAATAGAGTCCATTTGGCAGGGAATTTCAGCAGCAGCATATAAAAAACATCTCAGAGCAGGGCTGAGGGCAGGCCAGAGTATCCGTTCATCCTTCTACGTCTATCCTGAGTGTCCCCAAACCCTCGTGGTTATGCAGCTGTGCAATGCCAAAAGGTGCCCAGCTGCAGGGACACGTGGGAGCTGAAATCCAGCCCACCCTCCCCTGGCCAAGCCACACCCCTTGGCCCTGGGCTGC